TCGTCGTCGTCGTCGTCGTGTATGCTTCTCGCGCGCGCGCGCGCCGCAGCAGTGCGATTCGTGCGTCGTACCGACTTTTGGAGCACTGCGGCCGCGCCGCGGGTCGGGGCATGCCACAGCCCGTTCGGATATAAGTATCGTCGTGCGTGCAGCGCGTGAAGCCGTGCGCACTCGACGATCTTCCGGCAGTCAGTCGTGCCGTGTACGTCTCGCCGTACTTCGACGCTGATCGTCCTCCTCCTCGTGGACGTTGTCGTCGTCGTCGTCAACGTCGTCTACGTCGTCGTCGTCATCGTCAGCGCCGCTCACGCAGGCGCCCTGACGTCGACGTCGCCACCGCCATCGCGGCCGTACCGGAACCACCACCGCGACGCCTGCCTCCCTCCACAACCGCGTCCATACCGCTACCACCCTCTTCGCAACCCTCTAGTTATATATAGGGTGTCTTGAAATCGTGTCTCTTGAATGTTGTTTTAACTATAAAGTCTACGATGAAAAGATAAATGAGAATTTTTATCAATTAGATGTAGAGGAAGAGTTGTATAGGAAAATAATACAATTATATTTTCAAATAATACGATCAAAAAAAAAAATCGAAAAAGAGTAGGGTCAATTTTACTTTGGAATGAAATTTCTTCTTATTAATAAGTAATAATTGATAAAAGAACTAATTACTGAACAAAAATGTTTTCTGAAATGCTGGAAATATAAAAGAAATTCGAAATTATGCAAGGAAATTATGTAGATATTTAATTTTAACCAGTATTCGCGGGTTTAGTGAACTGAACATTTTCTTTAATTACATTGCGAAAATTGTTTATAACAAATATTTCATGATCTTACAAAATTAAATCATCTTATTTCTCGGATTTTAATCTTTAAAATAAAAAAATCGCTTAGTTACGTTAACTTTAAGCAAAGTTAAATATCAGTTAAAGACCGTCGATAAAAAAATTTCAGAGCAAATACTGAGATTAGGGTTAATCGAAATATTTTTAAGAGCTAAAAAAAATCAAGTTTCTTTTTCCTTTCTTATTTTTGAAATATATAAATAAACGGTAAATAGAAACTTTATTTTTTAATTAATTTTAGAACTGTTTTCTTGAAAAATTGAGTTTAAGATTTATTAAAATATTCGATTGAAGGCAAACGATAAATGTGAATGATAATCATTCACAAAATTTTCATAACAAAAAATCAGGTTTCGATATTCCTTTTATACATTCTGCGATAAAAGACCATCAGTAGAATCAAACGTTTAAAATAATAAGATCCAATAAAATACGATTTTTCTATAAAATTCCTTAACTTTATCTTCTTAATAAATTTCAATTGAATCTTCTCAAATTTTATTCTGGAGCTTTTTGAGAGAGGATTTTTTGAAGAATGGTATTATTGCTGTATAAAAGAAACTAGAAATCCTGATGTACCCTCGAGGACTCGAAACTGTCTTAACAACAATCGACGCAAGTGTCACGAGGCGGTAGCGGTAGCTTGATAAGCGCAGCGCTCGATAAGAG